CCCGAAAAAAGCATTATCCAAAAAAGAGACCAAAAACAAAAGCCGAAAGTATTTTTTAAAAAACAACAAACCAATCACACAAACAAAGAGCCAAAAATTAAAAATACAAAAAAACCCAAACAAAAACAAAATAAAAACAGGACCAAAAATAAAATAAAGAATAGGCAAACACAAAAAAAAACGAAGTAGAAAAGTGAAAACAATCCCAGCTAAAAGTCGCACTCTGCCGTCTACGTCGCGGGCTCACCTCGGGGCTCCAAACGACACTTGTAGTCTTCCGGAGATATCACTACCCCCGGCTTCCAGTCTGCCGGGTTTGCTGACGGGAGCGGAACATCCTCCGGGGGGAGGAACCGAAACTTCTGGAGCAACGTGACCACGATGAAAAACACGCGGACTCTGGCGAAGTTTTCCCCGGGACAGAGTCTTTTGCCAGCTCCGAACGCGAGAAGATTTTGCCGTGTGGGATGGTCCGTCTCCAGGACTTGACCGTCGGAGTCGAGGAACCGCTCAGGTTTGAAGGCCCAGGGATCTTCCCACAAGTCCTCTCTGTGATGAACGCACCACGAGTTGAGGATTAGGAACGTGCCTTTAGGGATGAAATGTCCCTCAAAATGAATGTCCCCATTGGCGTAATGAGGTAGCAGAAGAGGTACGATTGAGGAATATCTCAAGGTCTCCAGGATAGTTGCTTCTGTGTACGGCATGTGGCGTTTGTGTTCAAAGCTGGGGCTTTCATCTCCGATCACTTCACATATCTCAGCATACACGCGGTCCTGAAGCTTTTGGTCAACGAGGAACTGCAGAAACAGTGACGTCAGAGTCCCTGCCGTGGTGATGTAAGCAGCTGCAGCGATGTCCTGGACCATGCCCAAAATGTCATCGTCTGTCATGTCCTGGAAGTTCCCGCTCTTCTGTAGCTCCGCCTGCTGCTCCAACAGGTCAGCCACGATACTGGTTGTCTCCCCTGCCCGGAACTTGTCCCGCACCGCCATAAAGATGCGCTCCTCCAGCTTCCCCCGGGCGGCCTGGACCTCCTGGATGGCCTTCCGGTGCCACAGCCCTGGGATGTACGGCACGAAGGGAAACGTTTCTAAAAATATCTCCGTCTCAAATGTAGCTATTACGTTTGCTTTCTCAATGAACCCGATCATGGCGTCTAGATCCTCCTCGCAGGTTTCATCTCCTTTAAGAAGGAGTCCGACAACCCAGCGGATGTAGCGAGTGAGCTCGACAAACAAAGATACGTCTCCTTCGTACCGAGTTAGACGATGGCACAGTTCTTTGGACGTAGATGTCATCAGTTTTTCAAAGTTGTTGACGCCTTGACCGTAGAACTTTAGCACGTGATGGAAGATCTTTCTCCTCTTAAGCAATTCTTTATTGTAGCGCCCAAATAGCATGTCCTTATAGTTATAGAATAAAACTCTTCCAGTGTACGACGGGGGCCGGTCATTGCTGAGTTCCCTAGTGCTGGGATCATTGAACAGTTTACGGCACAGCTCGGCGTTGTTCACGAAGACCACTTTACGAACGAGCGCGTTGACAAAGACCAGGTCGCCGTAACGGTCGGCCCACTTGGACGCGCACAGATGTATAGCTTCCTGTTTTACGCTTTGGATGAGCTCCCAGACACCCCGGAAGAACGGTGGCCCAGGGATTGTCTTTGTCTTCTGGCTCTTTTTCCATTCCAATCCCAGGAAGAGAATCGCTACGAGAACCGTCAGGGTGATCAGAAACTCGGCGATCATTGTTCAGACACGGCTGAAATAGAAATAAAATATCATCTGTTGACTAAGAGACAGGATTTTGCTATCAGACATGGCACTGGAGACCAAATGGAAAAAGAAGAAGTCGTAGACTAATTAACACGTATAGAAGCATGATCAGGAATGAGACAATCACCTAGGACCTGGATGTGTCAAGGCTAGAGGAAGTGGCCGGGGGTAGACAAGTGTGGCATCCACTGTTCTCTGTCTTGTGGAGAGAGTAGGTCAGTAGGTCAGTTGGTCCGTAGGTCAGTTAGTCAGTAAGTCGGTAAGTCAGTAGGTAGATAATCAAAAGAAGACAACGTCACGGTTTCAAAGACTTAGTCTGATCTGACTGCCTCACATCACGGTTTCAAAGACTTGTCTGATCTGACTGCCTCACGTCACGGTTTCAAAGAAGTCTGATCTGACTGCCTCACGTCACGGTTTCAAAGACTTAGTCTGACTGCCTCCCACAAACGTGATACACCTGATAGAGCCCCGGAGATAGAACAAAAACGAAATAGACTTCTTAACCCTATCTGTACGTCGTGTTTTACAGTTGTATCCATACGACGTGGGGAACTCTGTGCCACCACGTAACCCTATCTGTACGTCGTGTTTTACAGTTGTATCCATACGACGTGGGGAACTCTGTGCCACCACGTAACCCTATCTGTACGTCGTGTTTTACAGTTGTATCCATACGACGTGGGGAACTCTGTGCCACCACGTAACCCTATCCGTACGTCGTGTTTTACAGTTGTATCCATACGACGTGGTGAACTCTGTGCCACAACGTCCCAGAGAAGAAATTTACTCGTTAATCCTGTACGCACGCCTTGCATAGCAGTCTGTCAAAATGATTTTTGAGAAATACTGAAAGTTTCAAAAAAGACCTTCGCACTAGAAGTAATTCTAAAATGTGAAAATTGCAACAAAATGACCCCGGGGCGTACGGAGAGGATTAGATAGAGTTGAAAAGACTCAATTAGCTCTTAAATATACTTCTGGGTTTTTGATATACCTCGTTTTCTCAAAGTTTTGGAAGCACAAGATTATTTCTCAGGGAAGTAAAGAGTAGGCTTGCTGATCATTTTGTACAGATCATAGAGGAAGAAGTAGCAAGTATCATTTATTCTCTCTTACAATTCCGTTTCAAGAAACAGCTGAGCATATCATCAACCTCCCACGGTACTGGAACAGAAGAGCCATTGCCTTGCTAAAACCTCATAGCCTTCCATTAAATGACAATCTCAGTGGGTGGAAATTAATAAACTCACCCTTATGAGAGAGGTGCAACTCTCATGAAATTGAAGAGGAATTTCACTTTATTTTCTATTGTCCATATTTTGTCCATCAAAAGAAATTATTAATTCCTCCCAGCCTGACTCGGCCCAGTGACAGAAATAAACAATGTTTGACCCATTATAAGAGATACGTTCGCAGCCTGTACTCTTTCATTATGCAAACTTTATTAACCAAGGAGTGTTTTATGATGCCATGTTGGTCAATGGCCTTAAACACTGAATACACCTACTTACAAACTTAAGAAAAGGAAAACTCCGAAATGAACCTTCAATTGCTTCTAGATACTGTTGTAACAGAAAATGAACGTAAAGGATTATTGTTGAATGTAAAGAAAACAGAATGCATGGTAATATCCAAAAAAGCAGTAAATCTTAGTTGTAATCTCATTAGCAAAGGTGAAAAGATCAAGCAAGCCCAACAGGTTAAATATCTAGAATATATGATAACATCTGGTGCCAAGTGTTCCACAGAAATAAAAAGGAGAACTACAATGGCTAAGTCCAATTTCAATAAAAATGAGCTCGATCCTGAAAAATAGAAGCATCTCAATAAACACCAAAATGAAAGTCCTGAAATGCTATGTTTGGTCAACTCTTCTATATGGCTGTGAATGCTGGACAATCACTAAAGACAGTGAAAATAAAATAGAGGCAACAGAAATGTGGTTTCTTAGGAGACTGTTAAGAGTATCGTGGAAAGAAAAGAAATCAAATGAGGTAGTGCTTGATGAAGCCCACGTGAGACGCTCAATGTTAAAAACAATCAGGAACTGACAAATGCAGTTTTTGGGACACCTGAATAGACATAAGGGTCTTGAACATCTTGCTCTCACTGGCAAAATTGAGGGCAAGCGAGGCAGGGTAGGCCCAGAACAGCATACTAAGGGAACCTGAACAAATGGGTAACAGGGAAAGATCAGGGAAACATAGCTTTTTTGAAAGCATCCGAGCAAAGGAATGAATGGAGAACCATGATCGCCGATGTCCGTCGCAGATCTGGCACTGGATGATGATAACAAACTTAATAAATTTACTTCCTACTTATAGAGCTTAGTCATGATGTCATATTCTGTGGGAGGACGCTGTGGTAGAGAAAGCACAGTGGAACAAACCCACACCCCAGCTCCAGCTCCAGGAACATTTCTGTGACTATGGAGAGGACACTTCATCCTGGCTGTGATAAGCAAGGGAAAAAAACACGGGACGTGGCAGTGTACGGGTCATAAGACATCCTTCTTTGGCGAAACAGGATGTCGCCAATGGTCACCTTTGACAATGAGAGGGACTACTCAGTCGCACTGATCTGCTACCACCCGTCTCAAACTGGGCAGCCCCCAGTCAGTACGGTGCTGATCCGTCACGTCTGTTTGTTTCTATGGGTGTGTGGAGCAAGGACAAAAACCTGAAAGGCAGACGTTAAATCCAGCACCAGGCAAAAAAAGAGTAAAACTAACCCCATGGAAACTGGGGACCTGGAATGTTAGAACAATGACATCCGGATTGGACTCTATCAACCTGGAGAAAACAGAGGACATCAGAAAGACAGCAATCATAGACAGGGAGCTCACACGACTCAATGTAGACATCACTGCCCTGTAAGAGACCAGACTTGCTAACTCTGGTACCATCAGGGAAAGAAACTGCACATTCTTCTGGAAGGGTCATGGGGAAGATGAAATAAGAATCCATGGTGTGAGCTCTGCAGTACACAACAGATTGCCAAACAGGATCAGCACACTCCCCCCCACCCCCCAAGGTATATCCAAACGTATCACTGTCATGGAAATGGATACCGAAACTGGAACGGCTCACTTCATAAGCGCCTGCTCCTCAACCCTAACTACAGAAAATGAGAAAAAAGACCAGTTTTACGAGGAACTTCATGATGCTATCAATAACGTCCCAAAAGCAGACCAGCTGTTTCTCATGGGCGACTGCAATGCAAGAGAAGGAAATGCAAACAAAGTATGGCCCACCTGCCTGGCACCTTTAGGGCTGGAAAATTAATGAGAATGGTCAGAGACTCTTAGAGTGCTGCAGAAATAACAGCCTTTGCATCATTAATACCTTCTATAGTGGCAAGGACAGACACAAGGTTTCTTGGTGCTATCCAAGATAAGGCCATTGGCACCAAAACAACTTCATCTTTGTCAGAAAGAAAAACGACAAGACGGTAAAGCAAACAAGATCTTTCTACAGCACAGACTACCACGCAAAGCACCTTTTCTTACAGCTAAGGCAAAGATAGTCACACAAAAAACCCACCAAGAGCTGAAAGACAAAAGAAACGTAAGATCAACGCAAAAATACCAAAGACACAGTGTTATGGGCAGGTGGGGCACCTAGAAATCGTGTTTTGGGGTCACATTATTCAAATTGGGGTTATCACATATTATAGTACCTGGACATTTCCTGAACAATATCCAGAAACGTATGTAAGCCTTGCTACACAGTACAGGTTTTCCAGTCTTTTCTTACCTTTATCGGCTATTTTCTCACAATTCTATTATTTCACACATTATCCCATTTTTCTGCTCTGTTTCCAGTTCAATTTCAAGGTAACTTTCACAGGATACCAACAACACCTAGTTCTCAATTTTGGCTTGTTGAATTTTTTATTAATGGAGCAGTTTTTGATTTATGGGCTACAAAGCATGAATTTTTCACTTTTCCCCCTTTTTTGCAACAACCCAATTGTAAGTGTCATGAAATAAAAACTAAAGCATATATCAAAAATTCAACAGCCCAAATTTAAGAGCTACATATTTCCTTTTGAAAATGTCAAATTAGACATGAATAAGGTAATAAATAAGGGAATAAAATGGGATTGAAAAAGGTATACAAAATCCAAAATGGCCACCGTTTCCATAGCAACCGATTCACAAAATACTTTTAAAACTATTGATTTAAAATTCCCAATAGCATACAATGTCCTACAGTAAATATGAGCACTCGATGCCTTGTAATAGCTAAAAAAAAAAAAAAAAGACCTGTGGCCCACCAGTCCTTAAAGGCAAAATTCCAAGAACATGTTAAAGAACAGCTACAACATCTAGATACTTATCCCCAGACAACATGAAATCAACGATTTATAATTTTACGTCAATTACCTTTGGAATAGAAAGACCTCACAAGGAGGACTGGGTTGAAGCCAGCGCACCATCACGAGCACCATTACTCGAGAAAAAGCGTAAGTTCCTGATAGAACACAGCACAAATCCAACAGAGAGTACAAAGCAACAACTACGTGCTGCTAAATCCAAAAGTGCGTCAATCAGTACAGGGACAAATTATGCTCAGAAATCCAACAGGCAAGCGATACAGGTAATATCAGGAGTATGTTAGACAATATCAGAATTGCTATTGGACCGACAGCAAACAAAGTGGCACCTCTAAAGTCTCCGATAAGCGAACAGCTGGCAAACAAGAAGAAACAAATGGAAAGATGGATGGAACATTATTCAGACTTATCCTCACAAGAGCGAAATGTTGATAGACAGCTACAAGAGGCCATTCGTCAGTTCTCCAAAATCTCAGAACTTGACACAACACCAACAGAAGAAGAACTCTCTACTTCAATCGATGAACTCGCTTGCAGAAAAGCAGGACGAAATGACTACATACCTGCTGAAGTGCTGAAAGAGAGCAAAAAGACCCTCCTCCCATATCTCTACAAGCTACTAACGACTTGTTGGCGGAAAGCAAAAATTCCACATGACATGAGAGATGCCAAAATCACCACACACTACAAAAACAAAGTTGACAAAGGAGATTGCAACAACTACAGAGGTATCTCACTGCTAAGCATCACTGGAAAAGCTTTTGCTAGGATCATCCTGGAGCGACTTCAGAAACTATCTGAAAGAGTCCTTCCAGAGAGCCAGTGTGGTTTCAGATCAAACCGCTCAACAATGGACATGATCTTTATTATTCGTCAGCTACAAGAAAAATGCAGGGAGCAACAACTGCCATTACATACTGCGTTCAGAGATCTGACAAAGGCTTTTGATACAGTCAGTAGATCAGGACTGTACATGGTGCTTGGAAAAATTGGCTGTCCCCCAATACTGCTTCAGCTCATCATTTCTTTCCAGGTAGCAAGATATGAAGGCCACCATTCAGTTTGACGGTTCAACATCAAGCAGTTTCAACGTCGATGGTGGAGTAAAGCAAGGTTGTACCTTAGCACCAACCCTTTTTGGCATTTATTTTGCTGTCTTACTGCAATGCGCATTCAAAGAGTCACCTGGGGATGTTTTCCTCCTCTGGAGAACTGATGAGTTGATCTTAAATCTTGCTCGTCTCCGAGCTAAGACCAAGGTCAACAAAACCACAGTACGAGCCCCCCCCCCCCTTTCGCCGATGACGCTGCCCTTGTTGCTCACAGGAAATCAACCCAACAAACAATGATGGACCGCCTATCAACAGCATGCAAGGTCTTCAGCTTGGTCATCAGTGGTAAGAGAACAGTCATCCTTACTCAGGAAGGTCCAGAGCAGAGCCATATTTGGCTGAACGACACGAAACTTGAGACTGTGGATACGTTCTGTCACCTTGGGTCTACCATCAGCTCTACAACATCGCGGGATGATGAAATCAACACCAGGATAAGGAAAGCAGCAACAATGTTTGGAAGGCAGACACAGCAAGCGTGGGAAAGCACAAGATTAACCACCAAAACAAAGATTACGATTTATTAAGCATGTGTCATCAGCGCACTCCTTTATGGATTCTGAAACAAGGACCCTGTACAGCAGACAAGAAAAACGCCTCGACATCTTACATCTCAGATGCAGTCGCAAGATAAAAACACATTTTGTGGCTTGACAATGTTACTAATGTTGAAGTGTTGGCCCAGGCAAAACTTCAGAACATGACAACTATCCTGTGTTCAAGGAACTTGCGATGGCTGGGGCAGGGGAAGAGAATGGAAGACAACCAGGTTCCAAAGCATGTTCTTTATGGAGAACATGCCCAGGGAAAGAGACCAAGAGGAAGGCCAAAACTGAGGTACAGAGACACCTGCAAAAATAGCCTATCTAAGCTTGGACTAGATGTCTGCACCTTGGGGAGAAATAGCTGAGGACAGGAAAACGTGGAGGAAAATGATAAAGGAAAGAACTGAAATTCTAGAAAGCAGCCCCAGAAACAACCAGGCTGAGAAGCGCCAACAATGAAAGGAAAAACAGAGCTTCGATCCACCTCATTGGCATGCAAACACTGCGACAGAATCTGCGCTTCAAGCTTAGGAAGAATTAGCCATGAAAGAAGCTGAATGAAGACAACCTTGAGTCCATCTCAATCAAAATTGGCCGTCTGCATACACGAAAAGAGCCTTACACATAAGCTGTACTTTATCAACAAATGGCGCTCGACAAAATAACAAAATTGGAGAAACAGGCATTTTCCCACCACTATCGCAATTTCAATTAAATTTTTGGTTTTTTGGTGAATCCTTTTTGTGTCCAAATATAAACACATTTCCTTGTGAACTGTGTTGATTTAAAGCTAATAAAAAAAAGGTATTATTTTCTGTTTTCAAGGACTCTTTAGCTATTGATGTTGCCAAACTTCGGTGGCGATTTTCTCGCTATTTTTACCGCGGAAACCAAGTGAACTTACCGCTTTCAATCACAAATATCTTCACTTCAGCTCAAGATAGATGGATATTTTTTCCATCGAAAGCAAGATAAATAAACAAGCTTTAAGATGATACCAATAACTCGACATGCACAAACATTGACGAACGTCTGATTCCACCGCTCCGTGACACACGTATATCTGTACCGATATTCCAACAGTCCAAGGGGTGGCTCCTGCCAGACCCAGTGAATATATGTAACAATATTGTTACTGCTTCGTGATCCGTGTGAAACCTCTGTGACGGAGTGAGAGAGTGCAGGAGTGAAAGGATGAGGGGATGAGGGCGTGTGAAGGAGGTAAGGTGTGAGGAGGTAAGGGGTGTAGGAGGTGAGGGGAGAAATGATGAGAAGGGGAGGGCGTGAGATTTCAGAACACTTACAGAGTGCAGCAGGGTGCAGCAGAGTGAGACAGCTGGCCTTGAGAGGCGGTGTGCATGTGACAAATGGAAACTTGCAGAGAGCGCTGAGCCTCCACTTTGTACTGTCGGTGTAAAGGGGACCGTGGAACGATGTCGTAGGTTTTTGACACCCCTCTCTGTTTGTTTTTGTGAACATCATCTAGATATCTAGGTCATTTTTCTTTCTTTTCTGCTGCCACGTCTACAAGTGTGCACTTGTGGGGACTTTCCAGGTTTTCCTTTCCCCCTTTTTTTTTCTTTCTCTGTTTGTTTTGGCTGCTGCTGGTTTTTGGCTTCGTGTTTTTAAATGGAGAAAAGTAAAACTCGCTTCCTGGACTGGAACGACCTTCATTATCTGTGGAGGATCTTCCTTGCACGAAGCCAGCGTGGGGCAGAGAGGAGAGGAAAACAACTGCACGCTAGCAACCCGCGATGATCACCAACGTCACAGCTCGCCGCGGGTACCAGTGCCTTCCTCCCCTTCCCGAGATTGTCTATTTGCCGGTACAGAACGATGAGCTATTAGTTGTTCTACCTTCTTATAGATCTAGTTACGCTTGTGACCTTCAAGCGCCTTTCTGTTTTTGAGAAGAATTTTCAACAAACCAAGCACTTGTCGACTGTTGGGGCAAAATCAATGTCGACTTTGTGATGTCTTGATATAATAATATGTGAGGCAGCGTGGTAGAATCAGCCTCTCGTCAATTTTTGAGCATATTCAGTTATTGGTATCATCTTAAAGCTTGTTCATTTGTCTTTGTTCGGATGAAAAATTTATCCATCTATCTTCAATTGACGGCGAGATATTTTGGATTGAAGGAGGTAGGGGTCACTTGGTTTAAGAGGTAAAATTAGCGAGAAAATGGCCGCCAAAGCTTGGTAAATTCCAAAGCTGGAGAGTCCATGGAAACTGTAAATTAATATTTTTGTGCCTTTAATCAACGTTTTTCGGTGAAATCCTCAAAGGAATGTATTTGTAAAGGGACATAAAAGTTGTTGAGCCAAAAAACAAAAATGTTATAAAAATTGCAAAGCAGGGAGACAACTGCTGTTTTCTTTGATTTCATTATTTTGACGAGAGCCTGATACCACCACGCTGGCTCACATATAAAACAATTAGAAACAACGACTATGAAATGTGTGTTTTGTATTCCCACCACGTCCCAGCGGTGTGTTGTGGTCAGGCACTTCGCTGTCGCACGCAGGAGGCAGGAGATCAATTCCCGTGAGTGTGAAAGGGGGGTGGGAGGGGGGAGATTTGAATCGAATATCTCGGTCTTTGCGCTGGGATGTTGAATCCCCCTCAGCCCAGGTTGGCCCTGGCAGGCAGGGTCGAAAGCCCACCTCCTAAATGATCTAAACTGTGACAATGGGGGTGTAAAAATGCCTACATTGAAAAAAAAAATCCAATGCTCGGTGACAAGTTTACGAGTGACCTCTAGTCCGACAGAACATCATCAGGAACAAGAAAGTTCGCGAAGTCGTGTTTCCTCAAATATAAAATTTATTAGTGAAATTGTAGATGTGTTGCCAGCCGGCCCTCACAGAGTAGATCATTTAGGAGTACAAAGGGGAGGGAGTGGTGGAGGGGTGGAGGCGGTGGGGGAGGACCTGGGGTGGGGGAGGGGAGGAAAGAACAGCTATGAGCCTGCCTGTCAGGGCCAACCCGGGCTGAGAGGGATACTCTATACTGAAAGCCATCACACGCACCCCATCGTTCTCAGAGTCTATACACGTTTGTATCATATGGAGACAGATTAAAAGAAGTCTCTCTCTAAAATTTATTCATTTTCCATCATCCCCATGTGAACCATTTTGATCACATATTTCGACTGACTTTTATAGTGCCTTCTTTCTTTTGAAGTAGCCCCTTCAGACAAATTTGCAGATTTGGACAAATCGAAACTTCAAGATCTCTTTCCCTTAGTAAATTGTATGGCCATCATTAACATATCATATACAGACCGTGTGGATTTTACAGCAGTTCCAATATTTGTTGAGAAAAACTGTCCCACTTTTGTAACAGCGCGACCTTCAATTGCAGCAGATTCGCAAAACGGTATCTTGCACGCACTTTGCGTTTCAGGCAAGGATCTTACAACCAAATTTAATGGAACCTCCTCCTTCTCTCTCTCTCTCTCTCTCTCTCTCTCTCTCTCTCTCTCTCTCTCTCTCTCTCTCTCTCCCTCTCCCCCCCTCTCTCTCTCTCTCTCTCTCTCTCTCTCTTTTCGCGGCATAGTGCGCCGCACGCCCATTGGAACTTGTTTTTTCTTTACAAAGGGTATGTAGTAGGGCTGGGCTATGGGCTACGGTTTTGGGAGGGAGTATGTGCAAAAAAGAGGGATGACGACGGCGGGTCGGGTCTGAGAGAGAAAGATAGAGAGAGAAAAAGTTAAATAAAGAGAGAAAAGGTTAGAGAGAGAGAGAGAGAGAGAGAGAGAGAGAGAGAGAGAGAGAGAGAGAGAGAGAGAGAGAGAGTGAAGGGGGAGTAAAAGAGAGAAAGAAAGAGAGAGAGAGAGGGAGAGGGAGAGAGGAGAGAGAAAGAAAGAGAGAGAAAGAGAGTGTGTGTGTGTGTGTGAGTGTGTGTGTGTGTGTGTGTGTGTGTGTGTGTGTGTGTGTGTGTGAGAGAGAGAGAGAGAGAGAGAGAGAGAGAGAGAGAGAAAGAGAAAGAGAGAAAACGAGAAAAGGGGGGGGGGGGGTGTCAGTCTGATAATGACTGTCTATGAACTTTCTGTTTTGATCCCCATGTTTACAAGTCGTAAAACACATTCTACCTGTAGTTTAAAAATCAAGAAAGGCGGTGGTTTAGAGGTTATAGGGAAGGGGAGGGGTGGAGACTCCCCCCCCTAAAAAAAACATATAAAAATTAATGAATTCATTATTAAAAAAAACAGTTGTCTTGTCTAGTAACAGAATATTATTAAACAGACAGGAGAGTAAATCTAACTATACTATAAGATCCTGCTGAAAAGATTCGATATTAAAACATACCACAAATTATCGAATTAAACAAAATGATTGCATGATTCAAGGGTAGAGCCATCACTAGCGTTCATGTGTTATGGTGAACGTAAAGAACTGTGTTGTTTTAGGTCTAGAAAACATAGAAGGTAACAGACCTTCACTTAAGATAGCCGCGGCCTTCTCACAAGAACGTTATCCTCTACAATGGTGTTAACTATTGAAAAGGAAATAATAATTACAGTATCCTTTGTCTTTTAAAATGGGATATAAATTTACAAACTCTATTGATGTGCGAATACTAGTCTTAATTGTTAGCTTGTGTCGTAGGATCCCTTAGCCTGTAAATAATAATAAAGCTTTATCTCACTCAATGCTCCCCCCCCCCCTTTACCTGTCAGGTATTTATTGCTTTCCTTCATCTCTGACCAATATCACCGCTCATATTCCGGTCGTAATTCATCATTGTGCTGTGAACGCAGAGATCAAAATTCGAAGAATGAAAGGCTGGCTCAACATTACACAGGTGCAAAGTCTGTCTCGCAAATTCGGATGCACACCAGTCCTGATAGATGGTTATGGAAACAAAAGCACCGATGAAATCCCAGTTCGATGTGATCCAATCTGACGCGATCTTGTTGGCCCTGCCTACCGAATCACGCCTGGCTGTAGTTCTAAGTTATAGTTTTAGTAGAGGTTTTTCGGCGCTCGCTACTGCATAAGGTCATATGAGCGCCAATGCTGTGGTTCCATGTTCGGAGAAATCAATGACCTCGAAAAGTTCACACCTCGGTATGATCCTTTCTTTGTGAGGTTCCTGCGCCTGGGGCGAAATTAATTATTGTACCAGTCGTCGAGAAATTTAGAGCGGAGATGTCATCGTCATGTTTGTACGAGTGCGGATGATCCATGAAGGTTTTTTTTGTTCAGTAAAACATGATCTAAAATGCGGGAACTCTGCACTTCAGAGTGGGATCTTAGGGGTGACTTTTCTGTAATAAAATTTGCTGATTTTCGGAAGTTGTTTCTTTTTTCATTGTTGTTAACAACGGAATCTTAAGTGAACCGGGATCATAAACGATGGGATCTCTGGTGGAGACTACTATGATAGATTAAATCGGGTACAGTACTATTAAAGGAGACCCAACTCTCTCCGTCCACCACCCCCCCCCCTTTCCTTTATCTTTCTTTAACAGAGAAGTTATTCGCCGTTGTTTTCAAGCAGGTACTGGATTTTTTTTTTAAATATGGAAACGCTAGGACATCTGTATTATTTTGACATCAGTAATAGTAATGAGATAAATGGATTTTAAAACATAAAATAAGTCTTCTGACTTTCCTTATCTCAAGGATCTAAGAATGAAACTCTCTTTCCCATCTAGATCTCATTGCGAGAGTCAGGCAGCGCGCAGTGCGCAGTGCAGGTTGACCATGGTTCCGCCGCGAGAGAGGGCTTCTATCCAGGCGTGCGTTGCCGCCCACAGTGCAGTCTCCATTACTGTAGAACTTCCTTGGTTTAAGGCCATGTCCTACAGGCGCTGTTGGAGACATGTCGGGTGCAAACACTTGTCAGTTCATGGCCTTCTTTTTTTTTTTTTGGTAAGTGTTTTACGGCGATGGCAACTGCATAAGGTCATATTATTATGAGCGCGCGGGTCACATTGAACCCTTTCAGGTGGTGGGAAATTTTGAATTTTGCCCGGGTGGCGGCTGAAGCCCACTCTTATTGATTTTAGACCATCAAGGGATCTTTAATGTGCATAACTTGCACATAGGCCCTCCAAGATTTTTCGCCCTTGTTCGAGAAGGCTAGGTGTAGATCTTTCCTACCTGAAGATCAGGGGTGTGGCTGAAAGATAGTAGTAAGAAGGAGCCAGGAGTAGCAGTAGAAAGGCTGCAGAACGAGTCAGGAGCCCAGAGGAGGGGGGGGGGACGCAAAGGAGATGAGGGGGTGGGGGCAGAAAGAGGAGACGAAAGAAGACGACAGCATGACCTTCATGTTATGACCTTCCAGAAACTGTTTTGTTTGTTACATGGGCAGTATGTGGGCAGGGGTGTCGTGTTGGATGACAGAGCGGTTCTGATTTTTTTCCTGT